AGCCTCAGCTGCTCCCAGCTTTTATCAAAACAATTCTCTATGGGGAGGACAGGCAGGAGAGTGGTTGTCAGCCTCTCACACAATGGATTAAAATGATGAGCATGATGCTGACAGTAGGCATGATCAGTGGGTAAATAGACTACATCAGGGGTCAGCAACCTTTGGCATGCGGGTCGCCAGGGTAAGCACCCTGGCGGGCCGGGTTGGTTTGTTTACCTGCCGCATCCGCAGCCAGTGGGAGCTGCGATCGGCCGAACCTGCGGACGCAGCAGGTAAACAAACCGGCCCGGCCTGCCAGGGTGCTTACCCTGGCGAGCTGCGTGCCAAAGGTTGCCGACCCCTGCACTACATGTTCCTTTGCATTTTCCTGCTCTTGTGAACACTAGACCAGTGGTGACCCAAGAAAATTGTTTATGCCTGTGACCCAACGGAGCTGGAAATGAGGGGTTTGGGGTGTGGGAGGGGCTCAGGGCTGGGGCAGAGGGTTGGGGTGTGGGGGCGAGGGCTCTGGGTTTGCGGGGGGCTCAGGGCTGGGGCAGAGGGTTGGGGTGCAGGAGGGGGTCAGGGCTCTGGGCTGGGGGTGCAGGCCTGGGTGGGGCTGGGAATGAGGGGTTTGGGGTGCAGGAAGAGGCTCTGGGTTGGGGGGGTTCAGAGCTGGGGTACAGGATTGGGGCATGGGCTTACCTCAGGCGGCTCCTGGTCAGCGGTGCAGCGGGAGTGCTAAGGCAGGCTTCCTGCCTGTCCTGGCACCGTGGTCCATGCTGCACCCCAGAAGCAGCCAGCAACAGGTCTGGCTCGGTGGAGGTGCACAAGCGGCTTTGCGTGGCTCACCGCCTCCACCAGCTCCCATTGGCTGGTACTGGGTCGCGACCCACAGTTTGAAAACCACTGCACTAGACAGTGCATGAAGGGGTTTTTGTTTGTTTGTGGGGTTTTTTTTTTTAATGATTTAGAAGTTACTGCTTCAGTTGGCCACCAGGTGGAGCTCTCTCATAGATTTGAAGCAGGCTTTGGGGTCTGAGATTGCATATATAGTCCAACTACCACTTGGATGAGAACAAAATCGTTTTGCCCCGATGTCTCATTTTTGGGCTAATAAACCCTGGGTGCAAAATAAGACGTGTTGATAGCAATTGGACTTACTTGCCAAGCTAATGGTGACCCTCCACCCCCCAAAGGTAGCGTTTTTAAACACTAGAGCAGATTTGCAGTTGGGGACAATGTCCTTGACAGTTCTTGTCATTTTGGTGCACAGTCATCTGGCTCCCATAGAGTTTGTGGCAGCTGTAGACTGTATGACATGTGTAGGTTACTACCACTTGTTTTTGTGCCAAACAGTGTGGTACCCCCCTGAGCTATGTCGTAGTTACAGTCAGTACCAACACATACTTCTGATTGTGATCTCCTATAGGAAACAGATTCACTGGTATGAGAAAGTCTTCGGTCTCTGGATCTATTGTGATTAACTGCAACCAAGGTTTGATGGTTCATCTGGGCAGACTGTACACAAGACCAGATGACTTCCTTCTGAAGCAGTGACATCCCAGATTATAGATCCTGAATGCTACAGTGACATCCCAAACTACAGCTCCTGAATACTACCAGTACAGTATGTACAGGGTGTAAGGCTCAAGTAGCAGGATGGATCCTTACTGATTAAACACATCTCAGCTCCTGTATGGTTAAGGAGGTTGGAATATGCAGGAAATATACATAAAGACTAATAATATGCTACATTTTATTACATAAGAGAGAGAAACAAGAATGCAACAATAATAATCTAATCTAATATTGACCTGAGTAGATTGGGGCATCAGAGCTGTGTGGTAATTTAAAACTGTGGGCAACTATGCGGTTTATAGCCTCTGGAGAGAAAGCAACATTTAGGCTGTCTGACCTGCAGAGGAACTCAGAGTGTGGGCAGGGAACTGTGCGGCCTGGCAAGTGAGGGAGTGCGATGCGAGTCTCCACCCAAGAGCACTGACAGCTGAGAGCCTAGAAGTGGGTGCCCTTGTGGGTCCATGAGGGAAATAAGATGCAGTTTTCATGAACTGTGACAATCTCCACAATTGCTTTGCCAGAGCAAATCTGTCCCGGAGCACAGTTATCTCAGTGGGATGAAGGGGAGGAGGTGTTTCATATAGTAAAGAGGCTTATGCCCTCCAAAGGGAAGACAATCTTTACTGTTTCCCCTCCAATATGGCAGTGACCACTGCTGAAGCAGTAGTCGATCAACTCTCCTGTGCAGAAGCAGCCATTAACATTCAGGAGGAGGCACCCTATTTGCTTTACCATTTCACTTTCAAATATTTGTTTACGTTCCTATTTAAAGAGTATATTTCCTTGTGGTGTTCCTTTAGCTTGTTGGGGCCTTCAAGCAGGGCCTACTTGTCTGGACTACGTTGCTGTGTGTGGTTAAGAGGGGCAGTTCGGTTGGACTATGTTGCAGTATGTGGCCTGTGAGAAGTTAGATCATTGTTGTGTCTTTGCACATTGTCTTTTACACAACATTAAGAGTATGAGGAAAACTGGGTTCCAAATAACTGCTTTTACATACAAACATACAAGCCAAGTTACTTGGATACACTGCTGTTCTATAAGGATTCTCATGGCTTCTGCAACAGAAGGGACTTTGAAACGATTTAAAGGGCTATTATAAAATTCCTGCACACAATCTCTTCTTTGTAAGATTCAACTCTGGGAAGGTTGTGTTTTAAATTTGTTTGCTTTTAACTTCATGAATGCTATTTGTTGGATATGTAAATGAAGTGAACTTTGTTTATATATTTGTTGATATATTTTTCTATTACAGAAGCAATTTATTTCCTCTTTTATGGGTAAGTCCTGGTTAGTGAGTTCTTCTTCCACCAGACATATAGTGTAATGGCATCTCTTGCAAAAGAAGGTAAACTTTTGTTATACTTGTAGTATCAGGAATCCAATTAAGATACTGTCCTGAGAGGGGCTTGTTTATTTCACCCAAAAGTTTTCATTTGGATTGCAGTAACTCCTAATTATTGTTGGCTATATTATGGGTCACTGACTCCTCCATGGTTTACAGCAGGGGTCGGCAACCTTTGGCACGCGACTCGCCTGGCGGGCTGGGCTGGTTTGTTTACCTGCCGTGTCCGCAGGTTCGGCCGATCGCGGCTCCCGCTGGCCGCGGTTCGCAGTCCCAGGCCAATGGGGGTGGTGGGAAGCGGCGGCCAGCACATTCCTCGGCCCGTGCCGCTTCCTGCTGCCCCCATTGCCCTGGAGCTGCAAACCGCGGCCAGTGGGAGCCGCGATCGGCCGAACCTGCGGATGCGGCAGGTAAACAAACCAGCCCGGCCTGCCAGAGTGCTTACCCAGATGAGCTGCGTGCCAAAGGTTGCCGACCCCTGGTTTACTATTATGTATAATTACTCTAAATTCGATACAACTGAGTATAAACAACAATAAAGTGTCCTTACCACCTCATAAACCATTATTTTTGTTGTCAATAGCTTACAGTAACTAGCAGGCACAACACAGCCAACTTGTGAGAGACATAAAAGTATATTTGGGTCAGAACTGAATGACAGACCTTACAATCAGTTACCACAGGGGCTCAAATCATATGTGGCACTTCACTTTGTCCCAGTGGAAGTTACCATGTTTGTAGAGTAATCCCTCCTATAGTAGGTTGTCCTGGGGTGGGAGAAAAAAACTCCATGAGGGTCTCCCTGTGGAGCTACTTCAGATCATTCAAGGAGCAAGGCAAGGTCTTTCCACCCTCTATTTTCCCCTCCCCGTGGAATAAGCCACATCTCCATCCCAAAAATCCAGTGGATCTCCTGGGATCTGCAAGAGGAAAGGACCACACCATTGAAATGCCTGTAGTTTATGGAGTGGCTCCATAAAAGAAAGCAATATAGTTTGGAACCTTATTACTTTTTCCTACAAATCTGCTCAGGGTTGGTGGAGGACTATCACCTCTACTTGTGCAGATTCTGTGATATTATGAATTGTGCTAACTCCTGCAGCTGTTTGGAGTCCTACTGATTTCAAGAAAGGCCCGAACAGACCTAAGGGACAGCAACTTACAGAATTGGGGGCCTTGATTTCTTAAAACTAATGAGATTTTAGTTTTACATTTTGTTAAACCGTTAAAATTTTTTGTATAACATTTTCTCAGATGTTTATGAAGCTGAAATGGCATTTCAGTTGTTTTAGATTGTGTTTAATTTTTTAAAACTTCAGCTGATTGTTTTAAACTTTTGTTTATGCCCTGATTCTACAGGGACGTAAGCATGTCAATGGGGCTAGTTAGGCTTTGCATGATCAGGGTTTTAGATATTATTAATAATCATCAATCATCTTAATTACAGTAATGGCAAGGGACCAGCCAAGACTGGGGTGCCATAATGCTACATGCTGGATAAACACAGAGCAGAAGATAGTTTCTGTCCCAAAGAGTTTACAATCAACATTTTGTTGTATTTTTATGCCATTCAACTATATTTTTATTTATCTCAAACAGTTGTAAAAATTAACCATTTCATTATTTAAAAAAGAACACCCTTTGTATTGACGCAGAGAGCAATTATGTGAATTAAAAGGAAGTTGGACCCTGTTTCTTGATACATTTGGACAAAGAAATGCTGAGCTGGCTCAGATAATGTCAGATTTCCATTCCACCAGAACTTGCTGCTTTTCCCTCATGTCTTTTCTCCTCAATTGTCCTTTGCCTTTTTGTATTTGTTTATGAAAATTAATAAAAAAATTAATAAAAAAAAAAATAATCACAAGAACCTCTGCTGTATCTTTAATACCCTTCGATTTTTCTTTGCTGATTGATAATTGGCTCCTGTGGGGTGAGCCACTGGGGGCCCCAGGGGCCGAGCGAGGCCCAGCTGGCTGCCTTGCTCATGAACAAGCAGCAGGGGACGCTGTGAGCCGTTCACGTCGCTCTCCCTCATGGAGGAGACGCTCTATCCGGAAGGGAGCATTAAGCTGCACTTCCGGTCAGGTGTGTTCGGTCACTTCCTGCGCAGCGCGGCGTGGCCAGGCGGCTGGGTGCCGGGAGGGTTCAGTCGGCAGCAAGATGCGCATCGAGAAATGTTACTTCTGCTCCGGGCCCGTCTACCCGGGACACGGGCTCATGTTCGTGCGGAACGACTGCAAGGTCGGGGCGGACGGCGCTGCGCGGCACGGGAGGGACCCTGCCGAGCGGGTCGCGAGGGGCCCGGGCACCGCGGCAGGCCCGAGGGGCTGGGCCGGGGGCGCTGGCGCATCGCCACACGGGGTTGGTCCAAGCCGGGGCTGCGTTGGGGCCCATATAGCCTGGGGCGGGAGCAGGCCAGTCTAAGGACCGGCTCTGCTCCAGCGCGTTAAAGCGCAGCCTGGGCTGGCCCCTGGCCCCGCCGCCGGGCTGCCCCGGCGCCTGCGGGCGCTCCCCGTCCGCTCCCGCCCGGCTGCCGTGTGCTGAGGGCGCGGTGTTTTGGGGGTGGTGTTCCCAGTTCACACGGGCATACCAGCCCTGGTTCTAGGAGAGCTGCCATGAGTCTACAGAGCGATGTAGCTGCGGTAGCGCAGGCAGCGGTGGCATCGCTTAGACCTGCGGTTTTCCACTTTTTTGCAGACCCCTAAACATTTTCAAAGGGAGATGCGGGCTGCTTTGAAATCCTAGACATAGTCTGCGGACCCCCAGCGGTGCGCAGACGACAGGTTGAAAATCACTGGCTTAGCCGGATACATACTCGCAGGGTTTAGCATGTTAATGCTAGGCATGGCTAAGCCCTGCTGTCACTGCCTATGCTACAATTATACTTGAGTTCGCTCTCATCAGGAATCACACCCCTTGCTCCTATTCTAGATGGTGTCCAATATTAATTAAGGCAAAATCTTTTCTGCCCAACCAAAATTCAAAGTACTTATGTGGCAAAATGTAAATATCAGCATTTGCTCCATTGTAAAGACCAGTGTTGGACTAAAAATGCTTGACACATTTAGGCCCTGATTCAGCAAAGCACTTAAGCGTGTGCTTAAATACAGTTTTGAAGTTTAGTAGATGTTTAAGTTCAACTGAAACCATTAGAATTTAGGCATGTGCTTAGGTGCCTTGCTGAATTGGGGCCTTAAAGTTGAAATTAAGTTCTAAAAAGTAGTTGTTTAGTATCTTTTCTCTGTACCTTGCAAAACTTGACTATTTTTATGTGCAGTTAGAAGCTTATCCTGTAAAGAAAGCACTAGCTCTAGGACTAGGTGATAGGTATAGAAAATTCACAGTTTTAAGGTTTTGTAGTTATTTTTGCATGTGGGAATTCAATAATCCTGTACCATACAGTTCTTTGACCATCAGTTTGTTTAAAGGTAATTGCCATATAGATGCGTGCATGTTCCCAGCAGACTGTAACTGAAGATATTGTGAAAACAGAGTAATGTGACTTTGTAAAGTAAAACAAAGTAAAAATAATGATCTAAAACTCTCTCAAACTACTAATTTGAATAATACCATCATTGCAGAAGATACACTGAGACTTGTATTATTTATCCTGTGCAGTATCTTTCTGTACTGATTTACGTGATCTAGTGATACATTAAATTCATCAGAGTTATTTTGGATGGGGTGGGCAATAACGTCATTTGATTATGGACTTTTTTTCTATTTGTATTTAATCTTTCTTTAGGTCTTTAGATTCTGCAGATCAAAATGCCACAAAAACTTTAAAAAGAAACGAAATCCCAGAAAGGTCAGATGGACCAAAGCCTTCCGGAAAGCAGCTGGTAAAGAACTAACAGTGGTAAGTACTTGGTGGTATTGTACTACTAAAGGACTTAAACACACTGGCCAAGAATAAAAACAAAACATGAATGTTACGCATGTAATACTCCAAGTGCCATAGCCAGGCAAATCACGGTATGCAAGTGCTTCTGTGACCCCAGAGACAGTGAGAACAAAATCAGTGCTCTAAAAATACAGTTTGGTCTTTCCATTTTCTCAATAATAAAGCACATGCTTTTCTTTTGAAAGTTTAAAACTAGCCATTCTTTAACCCTGAAATTTGCCTTTCTGATTAGGCTTCTGTATTTTCAGTTTAAATGTGTTGTGCTTTCTTTGAATTACTGTGAAAAATAAATAGATATAACCATTATTTTTGTTCTTCATGGCACTCCTAATCATTTAGAAGTCCAAAAGGATTGTCTTACATGTGAAGAATAATGTAGTAGTAGTTGTAGCTTTAAACTTTATGGTCATAAACATGCAGTATCTGTGATAAGAATGGCTAATCTTATCACAGATAATGATGATGTGAAGTGGCAAAGAACTGCCCATTTTGCTTGAATCACTTTTAATCCTAGGACTGTACATCAATTTCGAGATGTTTTGTTCCCAATTTATCAAGTAAATGCCTGAGCTTGCACACTACTGAGAATCACAGACATGGAGATTCCTTTAAAATCTGTTAGTTTAAAAAAAAATAAAAATCCTCAAACCACACATTCAGCAGTAAAACAAATGGAAATTAGTTTTACAGAGTTTTCTTTTTTTGCCTTTCCGGCTTTCCAGATGTGCCGGGGCAGCAAGGCCCAAAGCCCTGTGAAAAAGGTTTGTTTTCCATTGCTGAGAGGGATGGGCAGCATGGACAACAACAACATAGTATTTTGCACTTCTGTAGCATCTTTCATCCAATGCTTTCAAAGTATTTTACAAATACAAATTAAACCTTGCAACACACCTGTAAGTTGAGTATCACCTCCTTTTTACAGAAATCAAATCAAAATGCAGAGTTTTGTTGTTTGGCTTTCAGCAAGTCATTCATTGGCAGATATGGGGGTAGGGTGCAGAAGTTCTTAATTTTTCTTGAACATAGGCATTCACAGAGGCCTGGTCTACCCAGAACTTTTATACTGGTATAATTATGGTGGTTAGACATATTTTTTTAACTGATAGTATGGGGATAAGCTATACAGGGCCGGTGCAACCACTAGGCGAACTAGGTGGCTGCCTAGGGCTCCCCGGGCGGAGGGTGGGGTGGTGGGGGGGAGGGTTAGCTGCCATGGGGGGGCGGGGTTAGCTGGGTGGGGAGGGGGGGTGGCGCAAGGTGGAAGTTTTGCCTAGGGTGCGAAACTTCCTTGCACCGGCCCTGAAGCTATACCAGTATAACTGCATCCACACTGGCCAGGGGAAGAATTGTGTGGGTATAGTTAAAGCAGTACAACTTTTTTGTGTAGACAAGTCCTAATTAAGGAGTGAAAATTTTAAAATTACTGCACCTGTTGTTGATTGGGGATGCAAATGACAACTTAGATGAGTACATTGGTTGTGTCCGCAAATCAGGTAGTTACACATATACAGTTCTTTTATCTATTGTACCCACATTTGCTAGCGTAGATATTTTAGTGTTTGCTCATGGGGTTGGTTGTGTGGGCAGGTGTCATATCAGAGAAAACTAACAAGCCTACCAGTTTGTTCTTAAGCCTGTCATTAAATGCTCTGCTCATAAAGTTCTAGACTTTCAGTGCTTCAGGTGCAGCAGTTATGATGATGCAATTTTGACGAACATCTTGCTTATGCTTTCCTCAGACTCAAAACTTATTTATTGGAAAAGAGTATTTCTCTTGTTTACATTCATTTTAGCAAAAGCATTTTCCCTTTGTAATATACTTCTTGTTCTGAAGCATCTTTAATTTAATCTGTAGACTATATAGATTTCTCAAGTGTAAGGCAGTCAACTATGTTGATCTTTCTCTATAAGGAGAGAATTTATAAGAAGAATCTTCCCCCCACAAGGATTCTTTCATTTCCCAAGCATGAAATAGATTAAAAAAAAAGTTAAAAGAATTTCAAGACAGAGTTACTTCCCTGGGAGAAATTGATTAAATATGCATACATAGCTAGGACAGTCCTTAAATAGAGGATTATCGGGATTTAATTAGCTTTTATTAACAGAAAAATAAGGGTGCTCAGTACTTTTTTGGTACTGTTAGTGACCTACTGCTGTCTGTGTAACTTCCCTGTAGACATTATTATGCAGTTAGCCAAGAGTATGGTTTTTAATGTGGCTGCCAGACATAATCTTTAGGCATTTATGTAATAACTGGGCCTTCTGAAGAGGTACTGTGTGTCTTTATACTGTTAAAAACTAATTTAGAAGAGTTCTACTGTGGTGTTTTTTGTTTTTGTTTTTTTTGAGATCCCTGATCTGATGGAGTAGGAAGAATGGTCAGAAGACCTTAGTTTGTTCTGTTCTCACATTCTCTTAAGCTCCTCACTTCAGATTTTAGGCTTAACAGTATCCTAACAGAAGCTGACATTATTCTAATTTATAAAGAAAAGGAAAAACAAAAATTAAAAACAAAACTCAAATATGAGGCCAAGTTACAGTATATTGTAGATAAAAGCTCTGTTTAAACCTAAAGGGTTCCTGTTATTAGGGAAAATAAACTGAAAAGAGGTGGCATCGTCTACAGAGCCATGGGTAGCACCAGAACTACCTATCAAAATCCCACTAAAATATATGTGCTGAATTGAACGTTGTCCAATCAGTATATAGGTACTTTTTTTAGCATCGCAAGCAGCAAATGAATGTTGTCATTAGCTGTAATATAACCAGCAACTGGACAGTGCTGTATGTGTCTTTTTAGGAGCACTTCTGGGGTGCTGAGAGGCTTTTGCAGCCACATTGTGCTTAGAGGGTGTTCAGATCTCTGGTACTAACACATAATTATTTCCTTTGGGGATTTCTTGCTGCTGTACTTGGACTGGATGGAACATCTAATCAATGCTTATGTTTTTGGGCTGTCTTTCCTTTCTGAGTGGCATTTGGTCAGCTAGTCTGGGAATACTAGTGAGACGTTTTTCCTCCATGTGGTAGAGGAAAGAGACTTCCTGAGACAGCTGTATAAAACTTTTTACTATTCTAGTTGGTGTTAGTTAAGGCTACTCAGAATAATTTAGGACAGAGCAAAATATTTGTCTTTGCATTTCTCATCCTCTCCCCTTTCAGAGCTTGGGTTGTTACCAGGATTCTTGGTTCAGAATTAAGATGACCATTAAGACCTACATTTAGACTACTGCTTATGGCACTTCTAACTCCTGACCTAATTGATGGATCTAGTCCAGGTTGTTGCATTTTGATTTCTGAAAATTCCCCTAGCCCAAGTAGACTGGAGCCATCTAGAACTTTTTCTACCTCCCTTGACTATAGTTTGGGTTTAAGTCTTGCTTTCAGAGTACCAAGAAGCATCACTATGAAAAGTTGCAAATTTCTTCCTAATTTACTTTTCTGCACAAATGGCTCTTAAAGCTCAGTAACAACATTACAAGGTTTTAGAATCCCAGAATATTTCTCTAGATTTTTCTTGTGTCTTTTGAAGTGTCTGTAGTCTGACTTGATCAGGTGCTTAATGGTGATCTTATGGCTCCTGCAAAACCATTGGGCTTATGTTCCTTGTTTCTTTTATTGAGAAGTTAGTCTCGTAGTTAAAGCATAAAATAGAGCGCGGAGATCTGGATTATCGCCCTGGTTCTTGCCATAGATGACCTATATAACCATACCTCTCTTCAGCATCTGTAAAAAGGGTTATTGCATACCTAGCAAGGGTGTTGTGAGCCTTAATTTCTTTGCAAAGTGTGTTGCAGTCATTGGCTGAAAGGTGTTATAGGTGAGCAAAGTATTTCTTTTCACTGTTTAGATGGTAACTGAAAAGACAATGGCATGGACAAAGCCTAAAACAGTTACTCTGATCTGCTTATACCTAGAACTAGCTTCACTCGATGTCCTCCTTCCCCCCAACTCCAAAAAACAAAACTCCCTTCCTGCCTCCCAAACCCATAGTCTTTCACCCAACATGTTAATATCTTACTCTTGTTTCTTAAGTTCACCACACAAACATGATTTTTGGCAGAAGGATGTAATGTAAATGACATCTATGTAGACAATAAACAATTTAGAATGTTTCTCCAAACAGTAAGCAATCTGAGGTTGGTTTGGAAAGAGAGTAGGGTAGTTAACAATTAGGGATGCAGTTCCTGGGTGTTGAGGGTCTGCAGCTGTAGCTGTTAAGAGCCATGGCAAAATGATTTGGCCTTTAGAGCTCTGCATTCTCTCTTCTTGCTATTAAGATGTTTATCGAATCAAGATGGTCAAATACAGAGGAGTTGAAAGGATTGGTATTATCGTTACAGCTGCAGTTCCAGCTAACAGATACAAAAGGAATTTTTTGGTCTTCCAGTGTCTTTAAAACTGACCTTCAGTAAGATTTTTTTCAATGAAGATTGTGAATGATGTTAAATTGTGTGAGACCATTTACAAGTGGTGCTTTGGCATTTTTCTGAGAACTATCTGGAAATGAACAAATGATGTATTAGATTCAGTGAATAGCCCTCTGATACCATTTTTAGTCATTTCGTTATGCATAACTACCTGGTGCTGACTCAGGAGAACTGCTGCCCACTCTGCTCTCTGTTCAAACCAAGTTTTCTTTGTTTAAAATGGTGACTTGTCCCTGATTAACAAAAAAGTGAAGGTTATGGCCAATATGTTTGCTGTTTGGAGGGTGGTAGTGATGTAGGGTCCCCAAAATCTCCATCTCAAAACCATGAATAAACCCTGTCCTACTGATATTTGAGAGAGAGCTCCACAGGGCTCTCTCTTAGCAACAACATGGAGTGGACAGCAGAAGATACCCCAGCTATTGCCACACTGGGCAGAGATGCTACTATGGTGCTCTCAGTAGCTGGTCAGTGGTGGAGCTCAACAGGATTAAATGCCACAGATCTCCAGATACTTCATCACTGGGGGTGCAAGGCAGGTTTGGATGACGCCCATCCTGCATCAAGATATGTAGCAAAAGCCATGGGAAGAGTGAGAGGAGAGAATAGGTAGTTCCAGAGACAGACAGGCATGCAGGGATTACTTTGTGAGGGAGGAAGGGGCCTGCTGGGAACTAACCACTAAAAAGAGTTGTGATTGCTGTGGGTATGATATGTTAGAGGTGGTGGGAACAGAGAGAACCACGTCAAACAGTTTGTGTTGGCTGTTCTCCTTCCCTCCGCTTGCAGTCAGTGTCCCCCTTTGAAGCACAGCAGGTGATGTCTGCATAGTTCAACTCTCATAAGCAAAGGATTCCTTCGTCCATCTGAAGATGGAGAGGGTTGGCTCAAGCCTCCACATCTCCAAAATGGGGCTGTCCCATTGCAGTGGAGAAGTCAGTGGTGGTGTTTTCAATGAGATGAAGGGAGCAGGGAGGATAAGAGCATAGAGATGTTTGGCAGTGGTTCTCTAGCTCTCTGCAGACAACTCTCTATGGTGATTAATGTATAAAGCAGTGTTTCCCAAAGTTGGGACGCCGCTTGTGTAGGGAAAGCCCCTGGCGAGCCGGGCCGGTTTGTTTACCTGCCGCGTCCGCAGGTCCAGCCGATCGCGGCTCACACTGGCCGCGGTTCGCCTCTCCAGGCCAATGGGAGCTGCTGGAAGCAGCGGTCAGTATGTCCCTCAGCCCGGCCTGCCAGGGGCTTTCCCTACACAAGCGGCGTCCCAAGTTTGGGAAACACCGATATAGAGTGTTAGTGCCCACCTAGAACCTCCTGCAACATGTTCTCATCGTTAGCTCATTGTAATGATGCTGCCTCTGGCTGGACACAACTGAGAGTATCAATTCAGGACAAATTGCTTAGAGCAGGGCAGTTACAGCCCAAGGCTGGTGGTTCTCCACCTCTAAGGCGCACCAAACCAGCCAAACAGAGAGGACTTTGGTTTTACCCCACTGGCTAACCATAAGTCATACAAGCAATTTCCATAGACACTCCAGTTTCCCAGTATCACCACCAGTGCCACTCGTTATGGGGACAAATGGTTATGAAAACCAATACCCAAGTAAAAGAAAAAAGGTTCTCCTGATCCCAAAGAACCAGACCCAGGTCAATATACAAGTCAGATCTTACCCACAAATCATGCTGTTGCCAATTCTTTAGAATCTAAAATCCTAAAAGTTTATTCAGAAAAAGAAAAAAATACAGATGAGAGTTAAAATTGGTTAAATGGAATCAGTTACATACAGTAATGGCAAAGTTCTTGGTTCAGGCTTGTAGCAGTGATGGAATAAACAGCAGGTTTAAATCATGTCTCTGGAGTACATCCATAGCTTGGATGGGTCATTCAGTCCTTTGTTCAGAGCTTCAGTTTGTAGCAAGGTTTCTCCAGAAGTAAGAAGCAGGATTGAAGACAAAATGGAGGGGTTTCCAGGGCCTTTTATATTCTTTCTCTTGTGGGCGGAAACCCCTTGTTTCTCTGCAAAATCACAGCAACAAGATGGAGTTTGGAGTCACATGGGCAAGTTACATGTCTATGCATGACTCTGTTCTTTACAGGCTGACACCATTGTTTACATGTTAGTTTGAATGTTACCAGGAAAGCTCAGATGTGGATTGGCATCTCCCACAGTTCACTGTCAGTTTTCTCTTACTTAATTGGCCTCTCAGAGTTGGTAAGACAGTTCCCACCTTTTCACGCTCTCTGTATATGTATATTGTGGCAAAGTACCTTCTTCTTCTCCTCAGCAGGCTCAGTCCTTTTTAGCCTTGGAGAGACAGGCTTGGGCAAGGCAAATCCTTGTAGGTAGCACAGGGTTTGGCTATTCCTTTTCTCAGTCAGCCCCTTGTGCTTGTTTATCTTCCCTTCTGGGGACAGAGCACAGCCTTCCTTGCAGGAAGGGTTCAGAGCCTTTGCTGCTCCTAGCTTACTGACAGCTTCCCTGGTTCTCTCCCTCTCTCTCCCCCCCCCCTTCCACGCTGGGGAGGATTTAAAAAGGTCCCAAGCAGTTGGAGCCAGCTGAACCTAATTAGTTCCCTGGTAACCCCTTGTCCAGCTGAACCTTATTTCCCCATGGTTCTCTCTCCTCAGTGGCTTGGGAGAGGCCTTTTTAACCCCCTGGGACTGATTACTACCCCCTCTTTGTAGCTGTTTGTCCTGGGTTTGCCATAATATATATCTTCTCAATATATGTTCCATTCTATGCATCCGAAGAAGTGGGCTGTAGCCCACGAAAGCTTATGCTCAAATAAATTTGTTAGTCTCTAAGGTGCCACAGGTACTCCTGTTCTTATTGTCAGTTAAGTGTTGCTTGATTGGGCACTTACTGAGAATAATCCTTTCTCAAGAAGCTGACCAAATTTGCTTCACTGAGGCTACTTCAAATCAAAACACATTGAGATACGAGTACATAGCCAATATTCATAACTTCAACTACAAAAAGATACGCACATAAAGATAGCATAATTATAACCAGCAAATCATAACCTTTTTATAGACACCTCACACAACAACCTTTGTACAATATTTGCTACAAATATATAACAGTGGTTGCAACAATGATCTTTATGGTCACAGTTCATGTCAATAACATCACTCTCATCTCTGAGGCAATCTGTTTGCTTGCCTGCTTCCTCTTGTTAAGTATCTTTGTGTGTGAGAGGTGTTTCTCTCATGCCTATTCTTTCTCCCCTATCTTCTGTTAAATTAACATAGTAACATAGCATAGGTCAGAGTGCGTAATTCTGCCTCTTAGCATTATTGCGTGCTGCTGTTATGAGAGTCTTCTATGGGTTCTTTCCTAGCCATCACAACAGGGCCCTGGGCTTATTCACCCCCTGCCATGACTCAGCGTTACCTCAGAAAATGATCTTATTGGGTAATTGCTGGTCTTCACCCCTGCTTTGGGTGTGGGGGGGAGGAAAAAAAAGTATTTCCTTTAAAGACCTGACACACAAGTATATTTAACAATATTAAGTTTAGGATTCAATGATATGTAGCAGAAATTAGTATTGAGAGCTGCTAAGATGTTTTGTATTTAAATTAGTTTGTTACAGGTTTAGAGAAATATCTATAATAGATATTTAGATAAAATGAAGGGAATTTTATGTTGAGATCCTTTAGATTTCTTTTCACAAATGTAAATTATGGATAATAACTTTATTTATGCAGCTCCTTGTTCCTAAAACTGTGTATTTCCCACTTACTGCATCTAAATGTAAGCTGTACTCACTTTCCTTTTTTTACACAGGATAATTCATTTGAATTCGAAAAACGTAGAAACGAGCCACTGAAATACCAGAGAGAGCTGTGGAGCAAAACTGGTAAGTCACTTTAGGAAATGCCAGCTTTTCTAGAAGACTAGCTGGGAATAAGATCTTCTTTCCATGTTTTTCCATGTTCAGTTGTCAGAAGACTTTAAATCTTGATGTTCATATTTATAATTAGTCTTTTGTAAATATTAGAAACCTGAAAAGAGATTTATTTTTAAATGGGCCCCAAAGTAGAACAGGAATTTCTGTTCTGCCTCCCAGCTGCACGTCATTGAAATGAAATGGGTTATTCTTGGTATTTTCATACAAAAAAAAATTTAATTTTCCATTATAATCTAGATAGACCTGTCCCTTATGATTGCTGCCTTTTATGGTAAATGAGTCCACATTTTTTCTCCACTTGTAAAAAGGGCAATATCAAACTTGATAGGGACTACTCAACACAAACCAAGATTCTACTCGGATTACAGATATACTTTTTTTTCTGCTTCCATTTCTACAAAACCATAGCAATAGAATATATGATTCTTATCACTCTATATGATGCTCAGTTATCAACTGTAATCATAAATTACAATATTTGCCTTTGTAAATCATTGTCATTCACAGAATTTTCACTACAAAAGTTTTCATAGGTATATAACTCTGCAGTAAAACACATTCTTCTGTTTGAAACTTGATGTCTGAGGCTTTTTGAATACCTAATTTCAGAGCAATCTGATAAATTGACTTTTATACACATAACTTCTTTAAAATGCTTTTACTGATGTTGCAATGACTTTTGTATGTGTTTGTGTTCTTAAAACCAGCTTAGATTTTTTTTTTAATGAAATCTGGAAAGCAAGTAATGTGTAACACGTGAAGTAGTTAATACTTTTCATTCTTAGGCATTTTTAATACATACTGCACAAGATCCGAATACATAGTTACACAATAGATCACCATAGCTCTGAAGATTTATAGCTTTCTACCAGAAATGTTCTTGTCCTTGTTAGTTTTTTAAAACAAACAATTTGACCAAAAGACTTTGTCATGAATGCCAATAAAAAGCCAGAAAATTAAGAAGATTGGACAGCTCCTATTGCATTTGAGGGAGAAGTATGATGGTGAGAATTAAAAATTGAGTACCACTCTAAAAACTCTGACTTGGTCTGTGTTCAGCATTTTCTCACAATCCTATTGTTAGGAGCACAGGATTTGCCATACAAATCAGACCATTGATCTTTCATGTTCACTGACCTGCCCCTAACTGGCTAATACCTGATCCCTGAGATGGAAGTGAAGAAAAACCCATCATGCATTGGTCTAATCGTTTATTTATGTGCATATGAAAAAAAGCTTCATTCCTGCAATAATCAGATGACAAAGCTCATGCTTCAGGGTGATTACCCTTAGAGGTGAACCTACGCAAGTTGTTAATAAAATTGTCCAGACCTTTTAAAATTTAGATAAATTATTTAACTCTTCGCTCCTTTGATGGTGCGATGTTAAGTAAACATATTTTTAAAAATTAATATTAAGTTTTGTTAAGACTTAAATAGCTAATTTTGCAATTGTTTCAACAACAAAATAGTAAAGAGTTGAAGAGCATAGTGATTAAAAATATGCTGTTCCTTTTTTCTAAAAAGTTGTAACTGCTAGGACTCCTGCTTCATTTTCTAATGACTCACCTTTAGTGTTTCCACAATTATATTTAGGTTCCTGTGTAAGTATGTATTACATCTTTGCTAGTAGGTACCTAATGTTCAGTCTGTTTGCACAAGTAGTCCATTTTTTTCAATAAAAAATTTCCACTCCCAACAGCAAGAAATTGATGAGTTTCTGTTTAAAAAATAAGTGTCAATTACTTTTACTTGTCACTTACAACATGATCTCAAAGTGATACTTAGGTTGTCTTTGCATTGTTTACATTAAAAAAAAAAGTTAGTATGTTGATGTGACAGCATATTTGCTCTGTAGAGTTTGTTGGTATACCTGTGCTGCTTATTCAATTTACAGCACCGTCAATCTAGCCCTAAGTTTGATTGAGCCGTCGTTTGTAAATCTCATCAATTATAGGCAAGAGATTTGGGAATGGAAGGAGAGTATATTTTACTGGATTTATGCATCTTTAACCTTGGATTAACCTGATCTTCCTTATATTGGTTTTTTGTTTCACATCACTGTTCAAACGAGTTCAAATTTTTTGGGCAGTCAGGCTGTGGGCAGGCATTGGGTTTCACTTAGTCCTTATTTTTTGAAGAACTGTTACAGCAGTGGTTCTCAAACTTTTTTTTTTTTTGTGTGGACCACTTGATTGCTGAGGGTCTCAGCAGACCACTTTAATGATCTTTCCAATGATTGTTTGTATTGTTAGCTATCGTAAAGCACTTTGGATCTTTAATGATCTTTAATGATTGTTTGTATTGTTAGCTATCGTAAAGCACTTTGGATAAAAGCATTATATAAAAAAAGAATAATTAACTTTTTTTTGTTCTACAAATAAAAGCACACAACTCATATATTTTAATATCAGTAGTCTTACCTTTCTAATGTGATGGATGTGCCCTCTCTCCCCCTGCTGTGGCAGCCCCCAAGCTGGGGCTGAGAAGGAGGAGGGGTGTCTCTCCCCTGCCACACCAGCCACAGAGCTGAGGCTGGGAAGGAGGGCCATCTCTCCCCAGCAGCCGCAGCCCTGGAGCTTGTGAAAGTCACCTCTTTCTCTGGCTGCCGCAGCCCTGCACATCCCAAATTTCCCCCACCCACTCTTCTCACCCCACTACCCCATCCCACCTACCCCCAGTTTCCCCCAAGGCCACCATCTCACCTTATATGTGCGTTTTCTCCAGAGTCCAGGCACCTAATTAGTGGAGCCACGCCTGCCTTCATTCTCTTGTGTGAGTCAGCCCAGGCGCACACCTTGGAACTATCCATGGACCACCTGAATGGAGCTCACTGGTCCGTGGACCACAGTTTGAGAACCTCTGTGTTAGAGAATCAGAGTATAGAATTGAACTGCATTCTTAACCATTATATTATTGTTTAAGTGATTCTGCCTCCTACTGTCTTTTAAAGCTGTGCTGTCCTGTTCTTTTGATCCCATTGATTCTGCACTAGTTTGCTATATTTTGTTTCAGTCATGATAATTTTGTGGCATGTGAGACCATCATTTATTTTTAAGTTAGGAAGAAGTATTATTAAGGGGAAAAGGGTAATGACATTTGGATAATGGTGAACTGGAAACAAAAGTCCTCCATTGTGAGAAATGATGGTAAGGATAAGAGAGAGATTGTATAGACAAAGTGGAAGCTTGAACTGAAATTTAAAAGTAAAATTGATGATAATTTCTAGCTACAGAATAGTATCCGTCAATACTACATTGCAAAGAGAACTTCTCTGGTATAATCATTAGATGTTTCTTTTACTCTAGGTTCTGTGCATATTAAGGAACACATTATAGTAAAATGTACCTTTAAAACAGTACTAGTTAAATTGTTTCAGGATGTTAATTCGATTATCAAACACACAAGTTTAAAAATATTTAAAAACTCTGTTTTTTTTTTTGTTTGTTTCAGTTGATGCAATGAAGAGAGTGGAAGAGATCAAACAAAAACGCCAAGCTAAATTTATCATGAACAGGTGAGAAGGATTTGCAGTAGCACTTAAGAAATCCCAATCAGGTTCTGGGTTGCATCCTGCTGTACAGGCATGTGGCAAAGAGATGGCCCTTGCTCCATGGAGATGATGCTCACAAATTTTAAATGGCTGTTTGCTCCTGACACACGAACAGTAGTGCAAGTATTATTAATGTATTATGTGTAGCACCATAGCACACAGGAGAGTCATGGACCATTATGCTAGGCGTTGCAGTAACACAACAAAACAGTCCCTGCCCCAAGGAGTTTACAAGCTGTTTAAGACAATAGACAGCAGATGGAAACAGACTGGGAAGTACAAGAAAATAATAAGACAATATTGGTCAGCATGGTAACACATTAGGAAGCTTGAGAAATGAGTCTACATAATGCTGACTGTTCAAGGGAAAGGAGATCTTGCCAAACATTAGGAGCTGTATTCTGGTATTTGGAGGAAGGTGGGGGAAGACTTGTACGTAATTTGAGGTTTCCAAAATCTGAATAAACTTCTCATAGTTTGAAACTTTCTCTGTCATCCCATTGCATCAGTATTTATTGGATTCTATTTTAGTTGTAACTACCACTATAATTCCCTAGTGGACTCAGAGAGATGTGAAATTTCACTAAGATTTAATACACCTGATTAAGGCTACGATTTAGTCATGGGTATTTGTAGTAAAAGTCATGGCAATAAACAAAAACAAAAATTCACATCCTGTGACCTGTGCATGACTTGTACTATATACCACTAACTAAATCTTAGCGGAGGAGAGGGCCACTGCTCTGGGAGGCTGGAGGGGGGCTACTGCTCTGGGGGTGGGCCAATGGCACCAGCTGCCAAGGGCCACTGAGTAGTGGCTGCGCCTGCTGCCCCCAAGGCCGCCCACCCGCCACGGCTCCCGCAGCCCCCAGGACTGCTGCTCAGTGGCTGGTGTGGCTGTCCCTGGGGCCACCTGAGCAGCTGCTTGGGCGGCCCTGGGATCAGCCACACCAGCCACTGCAGAAGTCACGGAGGTCAGGGAAAGTCACGGAATCCGTGACTTCCGCAAATTCCGTGACAGATACCGAGCCCTACACATAATGTATATAAATTTATTTAAAAAAAAAAAGTTAAGCTTTAGTATATAATCTCACAAATAATAATCCCCCTTATTTTTCTCAGACTAAAGAAGAGCAAAGAGCTGCAGAAGGCACAAGACATCAAAGAAGTCAAGCAAAACATACACCTTGTTCGGGCTCCACATGCAGGTAAGAACTGGATTTATTGAATTCTTGGTTGGATAGTTCATGTATAATTATTTTGAGCAACATCCATCATTTAATGAGCCAGATATAATCCCCTTCTTTCTCCTTCCCCCACAAGACCAACCTCCCCCATCTGTCCTTCACCCATGGCAGGCAGAATTCCATCAGTGTCTGTTACCTATTCAGATTCTACAGTATCAAAATAATCAGCTGACCTCGTTATGTGTCTGGTCTCCATCATTTTAAATTCAGTCGTTGGCACACATTGAATTATACTGTAGTTACTACAGCTGTACAATGTCAGACTTCTTGAAATGTTGGACTCAATAGCAAATAATCCCGTCTGAAAAAGTGACATTTTATAATTCAGTTGTTTGCAGTGTTGTTGCCATGTTGGTCCCAGGACATGAGACACACAAGGTGGGTGAGGTATTATCTTTTATTGAACCTCACTCATCTTGTGTCTTTCATTCTATAATTGAGTGTTTGTAACATGACGTCTCAAATGCAAATGTTTATTAAACTTAATATGTTACAGCTAATTAACAACCTATTTTTGAATTGTCTAGTTAATATTAATCAAAATGTATCTGAAGAATGCACAGATAAGAATTTATATTCTCCATTACTGAGCAAAATTTACATTTTTCTTGGTTCCATTTGAGGTTACAGCTGGAAAAATCTGTTCCTCCCAACTGGTTTTCTGCTGGTCCAAAATTCTTTACTACCAATACTAGGTTATGAATTAAAAAGTATTGGTAAAATAGATTGTGTAGACATTGTCTTATTTATGAAATTTGTTTTATTCTTAAATACGTTCTTTATAGGATATGTTTTCAAATGATCTCCATCTTTTGCATGTATTTAGGCACACAACTACCCTTATGCAAAATGGAGATCAGCTGAAAATTTGTCTATTAATGCCTTGAAAAAATTATTAGTAAATTGATCTTGGTGGATGTTGATTTGATATATTATTATATTTTAAATTTCCTTATTTTATATGGTTATGTTAATATAGTCCATTACAGCAAATTGTCTATAATATTGTAGATCTCTGATGTGTGGTGCTAACAGTGGGCAGTGTAAAAAAGCGGTGTGCTTTTGCCTATGTTTCATTCCGCTTTGATCCTCCCCTCTGTTTCCTTTTTCCTGGGACGGTTCTTCTAAATCTGGAGAAGGGAGCAGGAGCCTCTCAGTTTTGCTCCCTTTACCAAAGGAGTGGTTCATGCTACTGCATGAAGTTCTGATTGATACTGCCAACTGGCAAAAGTCCATAGTACTAGATGAGGCGAATCATCAGTGTATTATGCAAAAGTGAAGCTGATTTTAGTTGTTGCATTAAAGTAATGACAGCTCTGCTTTTTGTTAAAACCTCTTTGTCAGTGTGGCTAGCTGATAATAAAGGTCATAACAAATATGTGTTAACTTGATTGCTGTAATTGGAGAATTCTCTCGATGACAATTTTTGTTAAATAAAAGTATGTTCAGTTAAAATGTGTGATTTTTCTTTTCTTTTGAAGGCAAAGCAAAACGGCTGGAGGAGAAAATGGTACAGAAATTGCAAGAGGCTGTAGCTATGGAAGAAGAGTCCTAAAAACCTTGTCCTTTTTTTCCTTCTATTTTTACCTCCTCAACTTACTTAGTGTTTTTGACTCTCCTCTTCAGAGTTCTGACTTGTGCATTATTGATTCATTTGACATTTGTTCATTGAAATGAAAGGTGATTAAACACACCCTAGATGCACATCTTTCTTTTCTGTGTTCTGTTGTGTGTGAAGCACCAGACATTGTGTTTGATTATATCTTTTAAGGGAAGGTACTCTCAGTTCTTTATTGGGAGAAAAATACACTTTACTGAGCAAAAGTTATTTTGCAAGTCACCCAGTACTGTTTGTAATTATAAGAATGAGGTAATTGGCATGAAATGGCTGTCCTACAGATAATGCTTTTGGACAATACTTTTTGTAATTCTGTAATTATACAAAACCTTATTATCAGTGATGCATAACATAAAGCCTTTCATTTGAGATAATATATACCTCTTTATTGTCCAGGGAGGGACAGCGTAATTACCTTTTTATCTAGCTAATAATTCAAGGTATAATTGGCTTCAGTGGCAGGTTTCCTCAGTAGACTTTGGTCCAAGGCTTTTCTAATTTGGTATGCCGTACCCCTCCAGTGGTGGGTAAATTGCACCTTTGCACCTACAAGGGATGGCAGAATCACATTTTGTCTATATTTACTGCAGTGGAGCATTAGCTTTTTACTATATCCCACTAGGGGGAAATAGACTGCTTAAAATGTAACAACGGAAAGTGTTTTTGTGTGTTTTTTCCTTCCATGTTTAAAAGAACTCTTCTTGATTTAGCATAGTCTATTAGAGCAACTAACACCGATGCAAGTTTTACTATTGTTTGGAGAAGGCTGCCGATAGAATGGTGGCTTCCAGTTTGGAGACTGGAACCATCACCTGTATAACCACTGGAACTTGAATCTGTGCCACAAAACCAGGCTAGTTCAAACATGCAATAAATCAAACTTTTTACCATGTATAATGTAACTTAACGCTTTTGTAATTATGTTGACAGAAAAGTTGCTTTAAAGTTTAGGTATGTTGGATATTCATAGTAGTATTTTCTTCATCCAAAGTGTTATCAGTGTTGCACTCAGATAAATAACTTTCAATGGACAACTGTTTACCTACACCATGATTAGGGAAGCCTTTCAAAAACACTTTAAGTATTATTTACTTCCTTGTCACTGCTAATTACACTGAAAAATCATAATTTGCAGTTTCATTCCTGATATGAATAGGAGGTAAATTCAATTGGAAAACTACCTTATTTCAAAAATGTATATACCTGTATGCTGTTTGTTTTAAATTAAAATAGAATTACAGTTTGTACGTTCAGAAAGAGACTGTGGGGAATACTGATGTGCCTGGATTCAAAAATGTAGATCCACTTGAATTAAATGTCAATTTAGAGTATTCTAAACGCTAACACACTGCTGTTAAAACATATTTAAAATTATATAAATAACAATTACAGGCGTTTAGGACATGAAGGTAAAGTTTAATTGTAAGTTCTGCTAAGTGTGATACATAGTGGCCACATAAACCTAATGATCAGTGTTTGGCTGACTGATATGAATTGTATTTGCTGTGTAAGTGCTGATTTTTAATACTGTCTCAAAATCATTTGCCAGATTAGCCAGGAAATGTATGCTGATAGGGTGAAATCAGTTAGATGCTAAAATACACTCCCGAATGAAGATGAGTGCTCAGACTCCACCAAGGCAGAGAATATTTTCTCTTTGAAAGGTACAAGTGTGTCCATTTTTGAGCATTGTGCACAGGCAAGTTAAGTATCCCTTTATATGTGTTTAGATCTTTAAAATGCTGCATTTCTGATATCTTTGCCCTATATCAAATAAGAAATTAAGCAGCTTGTGTATGTTCAGGGCAACAAAACAGTGAACATAATCAAATACGTTAAAATAAAATTGTAAGCTGTAATTTGATGCCTGATCTAAAGTATATACTAATAAAGGGATTCCAGTTGCACAAAAATACACTGACCCTGGACTCACCTTTTTGGGAATTCTTACAGAAACCTGCAGGAAAAGACTGAGAAAACTGGGTGCTATTGTTTTGAGAGAAAAAGTTCTGCTTTATGAGGTTTTTATTCACTCTGGTTTTACCAAAAAGGTTGTAAATAAGACTAGGCCTTGCTAAAGCTATTGTCATTTTTCTCTTAGAAAATTTGCTTTTGTGACTGAATCAGGAGAAAGGTAATTTGTTTTAATACTGGGCTGAAGATGATGGAATTGCTTCCCAAGATGACAGGTACTGCAAGGACTCTGGCTGCAGTCACTGCAAGAGCCTCAAGGGCTCTGGTAAGTCCTAGTTATAAACAAGAAAAGGATTTAAACCCTATCTTGTCTGGTACAGCAACACTTAAAGCAGAGATTCATTTTATTAGTTGGATTACAGATCTGTGACTATTTCTGTACTGTTTTTAAAAAGGAAATTCTGATTCTCTTTAGATACACAAACAAAGCTAGTTTTCTGTGGGCCAGACTTTAGTTTTTCAATTTGATATCTGCCATAACAATGAACTTGCACTAGAAAAAATTGTTAATGGAAAAAGGACATCACAGGTTAGATGTAATACTTCAGTTATTGTAACACTGTAGAGCTTAATTTTATGGAGCATTTCTATTCAGAGTGCATCAGGCCATATTGGCGACTTGCAAGTTGGACCTAATTCATGATAGGTGATGGATAGTGTGGAGTTTTTTCAGGGTGCACTTAAGCTCAGATTTTGCTTCCTTCTTGTACAGGTATAAAGAACATCTGAAAATGGAACTAGTGTAGTTTTGTGCTGGGAGTGAAGGGGAGGTGCTAGGAGCCCCTGCTGTTGCACAGGGATTCCCAATATAGCAGTGTGCAGCAGCAGTTTAGGGGCAGTCCAACCTTATATGTGGTGCATTAGGGCAGAGGATTTTTTTTAGACTTTAGATTCTGCTTTAGCTCTGTGCATTGGGAAAGTTGATTCTCCCACCCCCTTCTCACTTTGCCTGAGATGCTTGAGAACAAGTTTGGTACCTTATTGAATAAAATTTGAGATTCCAAAAGGATACATTTCTAAAAGCCTCCTCTCTTTCTCCTCCCCCCCATCCTAAACTTAAAAGGATTCATGAAAGAAAGCTATTAAAGAACCTTGGCTTCAAACTCCAGATATCTGAACATACTGGTGTAAATTCATTAAATAATGGTATTGCCAGGGATCTGTAGGCATATACAGCATGTGTATTCGGAAATAGCTCACACAGCTTGCAGGGTAGAGCCTGCTTTAATGAGAGAATATAAGGTAGAACACTGGGCTCAATCTTTTTTTAAGTGCTCATGGGTAAGGCTACATTTTAATCACGGGCATTTGTAGTAAAAGTCATGGACAGGTCATGGGCAGTAAACAAAAATTCACGGCCTGTGATCTGTCCGTGACTTGTACTATATACCCCTGATTAAATTGGGGGAGGGGGCCTCCTGGGGGTGCCACGGGTGCTTGTGGGGAGCGGCCCGGGGTGTGTGCTGTGGTTGCTGGTGGGGGGCAGCCTGGTGGTGCTGCACCTCTGTGACCATCTCGCAGCCTTGCTCATGGGTCTCAGTGTCCATGATTATTTCCCACATCTCATTTATTGCCTTGTGCAATATAGCACCTGTTTTACCAATTTTAAATAATTAACCCATATTTTTTCATCCATGTTAAACCAACAATCAAATTCTCTCTTGGAATTTAGGTACTGGTTTGCTCAAAGTACATCATCAATCAGAGTTATATTCCTGGAAGGATGATTGCCTCCAAAATACAGTGATAGATGATTAAATCATATTTGTATGTATGGCCAATTTCTTATGCAAAGATTCTTAAAAGCATATATTTTAAAATAAAACATATGCTTTAATATTAAACTCCATCTGTGCAAGAATTTTTCTCTTGAGAGCTTGACTATTAAAAATTCACTTTTTTACCCAATAAACACTAACTCACTGAAGTAGATTTACAGCTCAAGCTATGCCTAATGCTACTATATAGAATGAAAGAAGAAAGGGTTTCAAAATGATTCATACATAGGAATAAATTAATTGTTCTGGTAATATTACAGAGCTAGTTCCTGACTGCAGTGTTGTATGATACCAGTTGTAATAGCAAAATTATATTTAATTTTTTGCACGTTCTTATGGTTTACAAATAAAGGGCCAAGTATTTAAATGGACACATGCAAAAATAGTGCACATGCACTTTTGCATGTTCCAATTTAGACACACAAATAGCCTAATTTGTGCTTATAAATCAGTTTGTGCATTGTAAGGGCAAATCTGGTATCTGCCAGAGGGAATGCATTTTGTGCACACCCTTTTGAATATTTGTTCCTAAAAGGATTAAATTAAGCAATGAGTAGCATTTACCCTGGGATTGGGAGTCATGAATTCTTGGATTCTAATTCTATCACTAATTTCACTATTGAAATGGGCAAAATTACTTTTTCCTCTCTGCCTCAGTTTCCCCATCTCTGAAATCTGTGTACTTTTTGTGCCATTTATCACCATAATACGAGTGTCTCATAATCATTAATGAAGTGGGATGTTTCCTTATTTCACAATCATGTGAGAATTGTTTGTATAGAGCCTTGAGGATGTAAAGTCTAAATGCTAATTTTCATTCTCTTCAAAATTAAGTATCAAATGGAGTAAAATATTAGTTGTATAAGGCAGGTGCTATTCAAGAACAATCTCAGCTTATTTCTGCAGTGTTCACCCTACAATTACTTGTTTTAAATTAGCTGTTTTGTATATTAAATTGTATAATATATGTTCATAGTTTTATTGTCCATTTATCTACAAATGAGACTAGGTACCTGTGGGCATTTTAAACTGAGGCAATTGGAAGAGTTCATACTTGTGTGTTTTTGTGCAATAGTTTTCATTCATGATTGTTAAGATCTTCTATAATTGTCTGTCTAAAGGAGTCGTGGGTCAGTGAAGATCCAAAATGGGAGTCGAGATGCGGGTGCTATTCCTGATTCTGCCTTTCTTTTGCTTTATGTAACCTTGTGCAAGTCACTTAACTTCTGTGCCTCAGTATCCCCATCTGTAAAATGGGGGTAACTATATCCACCATTATAAAGTGCTCTTGAAATATACAAATGAAAAGTGCTACTCTGAGTTGTTGTAGAACTAGCCTGTCCTGTAGCAGTTTCACCTAACACACTTCTGACTTTCAGAAATTTGACAGTATTGCACTGCCTTTCATTTACAGATTGAAAGCCTTTTTATTAATAGCTTGTCTACTTGGTTGGGAAATGCACTCACATTAACTGATGTGTAGACCCTGCTAGTGTGCACTAAAGTAGTACTATCTCAACTCTACGTTAAGACTCTCCAGCAGAGTCTACACAGACCTATTAATGTACAACACATGCGTGTTCTTCAGAAATCACACTCCCGTACAGTTATGTTCCTGAAAAATGCTACTTTAAGCGAAATGATGTTAAGCGAATCCAATTTCCCCATAAGAATTAATGTAAATGGGGCGGGGGTTAAGTTCCAGGGAAATATTTTTCACCAGACAAAAAACTAGATAAATATAGATATATAGATATATATATACACACACACACACACACACACTAATTTTTAAACACAATTTAATACTGTACACAGCAATGTTGATTGTGAAGCTTGGTTGAGGTGATGAAGTCAGAGGGTGGGATATTTCCCAGGGAATGCCTTGCTGCTAAATGATGAACTAGCATTCGGCTGAGCCCTCAAGGGTTAACACATTGTTAATGTAGCCTCACACTCTATAAGGCAGCATGGATGGAGGGAGGAGACACAGCGTGGCAGAGAGACACACACACCGTGTGTGCGTGTGTGAGAGAGACGTGTTGCACCTTTAAGTGTGCTGACCCCATTCTAAGTACGCTGACTTTTTAAGTGGATCAGCAAGTTGAGACAGCTGCTGAGGTAAAGGAGTGGGGGGAGGGGACACCCTGATATTAGCACCCCTCTTCGCGCTCCCCCTGCACAGCAAGCAAGAGGCTCCCGGGAGTAGCTTCAAGGCAGAGGGCACAAGTAGCACATGGCAATGGGGGGAGGGACAGCTGAACTGCCCAGCAATTGATAGCCTGCTGGGTGGCTGCCGCACAGGAAACTTAGGGGAGCTGATGGGGGGGCTGCTAATCCACCCTGGTTCCAAGCCCCCACCACTAGCTCCAACAGGCTGCTCTTCCTGCAAGCAGTGCACAAAGCAAGCGGCTGCCAAACAACGTTGTAAGGGAGCATTGTGCAACCTTAAACAAATGTTCTCTAATTGATCAGCAACGAAACAACGTTAACCGGGAGGATGTTAAGTGAGGAGTTACTGTATTGGACAGGAAGTGAATAATATTCTATCCAATTAAACCTATAAGAGCAATTTTGCGTAGGTAGAAAGTAGTTACTGCAGTTAGAACTTGTCCAAAGTAGCATGCTTAGCCCCCCACTGGTAATGGCCTCAGGCTCTGTCGTCCAAAACACAGCACCTCAGTTAGAACTGAGTATTTAAACAACATACCAGTTGGCCAGTTCTGGCACCTACACAGACACACGTAAAGGTGCAATAAATAAGCCATAAGAGACTGGCAGAAATTCTCCTGATGAAGGAGCCCTATGCTGCCTATTGTAAATTTGCCTAGTGCCCAGGGGAGGAGGAGTTCAGACACTACATTATTTTTTGTTTTTTGAGGGAAATATGAAAATTTGTACAGAAAAAATTTAGTGATTTTTTTTGTTTCAGAAATATTTCCAAATCAGCTGTTGCTGTAAATTAGAGACATTCCAAGGATATATTATTTATCCGAGATAATTAAGGGGCTGTTTTGACCCTCTCAGTAGGCTGGAGTGTAAGTGGTATAAAGCCACCTTTTGCCACCACTTCCTCTAGGCCAGCGGTTCTCAAACTTTAGCAACCTGAGGACCCCCATTTTGATTTAAAAATTTTCAGGGACCCCCCCCAGCCTCCCCACTCAGCCCTTGCCCTGCCCCTACCCTGCTCCTTCTCTGAGGCCCTGCCTCCCGCTCACTTCATCCTCCCTCTCTGTCACTCCCTCTCTCCCCACCCTCACTCACTTTCACCTGGCAGGGGGTTGGGGTGCAGGAGGGGCTGTGGGCTCTGGGAAGGAGTTTGGGTGTGGGCTCTGGGCTGGGGCAGTGCATGGAGACCCCCTTCCCCCCCACCCCAGGGCTGTAGGGAAGTGACCGCCGCTTCCAGGAGCGGCGGGGAGCCAGGACAGGTAAGCCGGTTGCCCAGCGTGCTGGAGGCATGCCTAGGGGAGCGGGGGGAGTTGAGGGAGGGGCAGGAGTTTCTCAGTGAGGCCTGCGGACCCCCTGGGGGACCTCCAGGTGGTCCGCGGACCCCAGTTTGAGAAACGCTCTAGGCTACCTCTTCTGTGCCATGTCTCCGACACAGCACAGAATCTGGCCCTAGGTTTTAAATTCCATACTGAATATGAGGAAAGGATTCTATTTAATGAGTGGCACATCTTTCTTCTACATATATATATTTTAAGCTCTCCAATCTATGTTACTGACCTTGCTTATATTGAGATCTAATATGAACACTGCATAAGGTGCTAGGAGTTAAGTGTGATACAAGTCGGATATTATTGCCAGTTGGTTAAATATTATACAATGGAAAAATCTATTATGCATGAACAGCAGATTATGCATAATTTCAGTATGCAGTTCATCTTGCTAGTTGTTTACAAGAGTCTAACAAACTATTGCACTCTTAATTTGTTTATCTTGTACAGTACATGGATGGGTGCATCTATCTTCCAAACAAAGTATAGTAGAATGAACAGGAGAAATGTTTAAGTAACTTTAGGAAATATTTTTCTAAGTTTCAGTCATCAAACTTTATTTTTACCAAACAAAATAAACATGGATCTGCCTATTTTCTCCAGACTTCTTGTGCAGAAAACGAAAATAGGGATTTTAATAACAAAGGGGTGCACATATGTAACATAGTTTTATTTACACTTCTCTTAAAAAAAAAACAAAAACCTGCCATGGTTATAAAATAGCTTTAAATCAAAAACAACTGGCTGTTTTCAGATGAAGATTGCCTATTGACACCACTGATCAGTAACCTTCCCATCACTTAATGTACTGTGTAGGTAAAAGCAAATTTCAGGGTTCTGTTGTTTTGACATTTGTAATGTGCATAGTACTGGAGAGGTCTAATGATTTTATCGGTAGTGAATCTGTAAACTTAGTATTTCAACATGCTTTTTCAGTTTCTCATTCGTTTTTCATATTAGT